TGCTCTGGGCTGGCTGTGCAGGGGGACACCAGGGCTGCTGCTCACTCTGCTGCTGCCCTGGCAGTGCCTGGGCACGGTTTGTCCTTCCCGGGCACACTGGAAGGACACTCAGATGCCCAACCTGCAGGAGGGGTCCTGGGGCAGGGTTTTTAAAAATGGAGCAATGTGGCAAAGCAGCTGGGTGAGGATTGCAGAGCTTGGGAGAAGGGTCCAGCCCTGCCTGCAGTGTCCCTGCAGCTGCTCAGGGCAGGCAGCTGTGCCTCTGCTTCTGCCACAGCCCCTGTGCCCCTGCCACAGCCCCTCTGCCACAGCCCCTCTGCCACAGCCCCTCTGCCCCTGCCACAGCCCCTCTGCCACAGCCCCTCTGCCTCTGCCACAGCCCCTCTGCCCCTGCCACAGCCCCCCTGCCACAGCCCCTCTGCCACAGCCCCCCTGCCCCTGCCACAGCCCCTCTGCCCCTGCCACAGCCCCTCTGCCCCTGCCACAGCCCCCCTGCCACAGCCCCCCTGCCACAGCCCCTCTGCCCCTGCCACAGCCCCTCTGCCCCTGCCACAGCCCCTCTGCCACAGCCCCCCTGCCACAGCCCCTCTGCCCCTGCCACAGCCCCCCTGCCACAGCCCCTCTGCCACAGCCCCTCTGCCCCTGCCACAGCCCCCCTGCCACAGCCCCCCTGCCACAGCCCCCCTGCCACAGCCCCTCTGCCACAGCCCCTCTGCCCCTGCCACAGCCCCTCTGCCCCTGCCACAGCCCCCCTGCCACAGCCCCTCTGCCACAGCCCCTCTGCCCCTGCCACAGCCCCCCTGCCACAGCCCCTCTGCCACAGCCCCTGTGCCCCTGCCACAGCCCCTCTGCCACAGCCCCCCTGCCACAGCCCCCCTGCCACAGCCCCTCTGCCCCTGCCACAGCCCCTCTGCCACAGCCCCTGTGCCCCTGCCACAGCCCCTCTGCCACAGCCCCTCTGCCTCTGCCACAGCCCCTCTGCCCCTGCCACAGCCCCCCTGCCACAGCCCCCCTGCCACAGCCCCTCTGCCCCTGCCACAGCCCCCCTGCCACAGCCCCCCTGCCACAGCCCCTCTGCCCCTGCCACAGCCCCTCTGCCCCTGCCACAGCCCCTCTGCCACAGCCCCCCTGCCACAGCCCCCCTGCCACAGCCCCTCTGCCACAGCCCCTGTGCCCCTGCCACAGCCCCTCTGCCACAGCCCCCCTGCCACAGCCCCTCTGCCACAGCCCCTCTGCCACAGCCCCTCTGCCTCTGCCACAGCCCCTCTGTCACAGCCCCTCTGCCACAGCCCCCCTGCCACAGCCCCTCTGCCACAGCCCCTGTGCCCCTGCCACAGGCCCTCTGCCTCTGCCACAGCCCCTCTGCCACAGCCCCCCTGCCACAGCCCCTCTGCCACAGCCCCTCTGCCTCTGCCACAGCCCCTCTGCCACAGCCCCTCTGCCCCTGCCACAGCCCCTCTGCCACAGCCCCCCTGCCACAGCCCCTGTGCCCCTGCCACAGCCCCTCTGCCACAGCCCCTGTGCCCCTGCCACAGCCCCTCTGCCACAGCCCCTCTGCCTCTGCCACAGCCCCTCTGCCACAGCCCCTCTGCCACAGCCCCCCTGCCACAGCCCCTCTGCCACAGCCCCTGTGCCCCTGCCACAGCCCCTCTGCCACAGCCCCCCTGCCACAGCCCCCCTGCCACAGCCCCTGTGCCCCTGCCACAGCCCCTCTGCCACAGCCCCTGTGCCTCTGCCACAGCCCCTGTGCCCCTGCCACAGCCCCTCTGCCACAGCCCCCCTGCCACAGCCCCCCTGCCACAGCCCCTCTGCCCCTGCCACAGCCCCCCTGCCACAGCCCCTCTGCCACAGCCCCCCTGCCACAGCCCCCCTGCCACAGCCCCCCTGCCACAGCCCCTCTGCCACAGCCCCCCTGCCACAGCCCCTGTGCCCCTGCCACAGCCCCTCTGCCACAGCCCCTCTGCCTCTGCCACAGCCCCCCTGCCACAGCCCCTCTGCCACAGCCCCTCTGCCTCTGCCACAGCCCCTCTGCCACAGCCCCTGTGCCACAGCCCCTCTGCCACAGCCCCTGTGCCCTCCCAGCCCCGGCACGGATGCCAGGTTAATGACTCTGCCCAGCCCTCAGCAGGTTCGGTGGTTTTTCCCTCTGAGTTTCTCCCAGCCCGTGCCGGGGCGTGTGGCAGCACGCTGGGGCAGGCACTGACGGGAAAGCAGCTGCACATCTTTTTCCATGCTCTCGGCTGGGAACGTGCGGCTCTGGAGCGGCAGGGTGATAGTGCAGGGTGGCTGTGAGGCAGGATGTGCAGGCAGGTGTTACCTGTCTGTGACTGACCATGCACACAGTGAACACCGCTCTGACACAACCCCAGAGCATTGATCCTGCTCCCTCAGGCACACACACTGCCCCAGCCTCTGCACTCTGCTGTTTTCCAGAAATTATTCTTATTATTTTTACTTCTCTCTGCCTATATTACCTCTTTCCACGTAATTTTTAAAAATCAAATGAAGAGATCTTTTGGCTGATAAACTGTACAGTGACATCCTGCTGCCTGAGAGCAGCTCTTCCAGGGCAGTCTGCAGAGCACACAGAGGGTGTGCAGAGGAATTTCCATACCAGGAGCCATGGGATTTACTTTATTTCAGTGCCAAATTAATATCGCTATTTTATCAACACGATTGTATGTCATGATACCTGCAAGAGCAGCAGCTGGGCTTTGTACTCCAGGTCTGCTGCAGCCCTTTGTTCCCAGCTGGAGAAGATTGCAGTCATCAAAACAAAAAGGAACCATTTTCTCTCCTGGGAACAGATCACCAAGTTCCCATAAGGCAAAACAAAATTATGCAATGAGTCGAGACAATGTCCTGGGCATGTGGAGTCTTGCTGTGTGCTGTCAGCACTCACATTCCAGCAGGAAGCTCCGTGCAGGAGAGCAGCACAAAATGGTGGGGAGGCTTCACCCAGCACATCCCAAACTCCCCAGCTGTGCTGCAGGAAAAGGAACAAATCCTTCCCACCCTGTCCTGGCAGCCCTCTGTGGCCTGGGGCTCTTTGGGACCGGGGAGAGCTCCTGGCCTCACCAGCCAGGATAATCCCAAAAACTATATTAAATCATTTATAAACACGGCTGTGGCTGCCAAATACTCCTTTCCAGTAGCTCTAGTGAGGAGGAAAATGGGGGGATGGATTTATTGTTGTTTTTCTGGTGGGCAGCCCCACAGCTGCTGTGCTGTGATGAGGCAGCCCTGAGTCAGGGGCTGAAGCACTCCCAAAAGGAAGGGCTGAGTTCATTGTTGTGTTGCATTCATCTAGGCACAATGGTAGACAAGAATACCATTAGATAGAAATGCTTTAACTGAAACAGAACAGTCTTAAATTTCCTGGCAACTCCTCTGGTCCTTCCCATCCACCTCCAGGCCTCTGCTGTGCTGTCTCTGTCCTCTCTTTGCTCCTCTTTTAAGTGAAACCAAACCTTACCTGGATGTCCTCACATGTAAAGGTGTCAGGTTGTGTTATACTCCTGCAAATCTCTGTGTGTATATATAAATATATAAATATATAAATATATAAATATATAAATATATAAATATATAAATATATAAATATACAAGTATATAAATATATAAATATATAAGTATATAAGTATATAAATATAAATATATGCATATATAAATATATATATATATATATATATATATATATATACAGTAGCACTGCAGGGTCACTTGCAGGTGTGAGTGGGTTCAGACCAAACCCCACTCTGACACTGCAGCATGAATTGCTCGACTGTTCTGCAATATCAAATTCAATTTTCAGCCAGGTTCCTAACCAGTATTCTTCCATGAGAGAGGCTCTTCTTACCTAACCAACACCAAAAAAAGTCCCAAAAAACGAGCAGCTTAAATCCATCTGGGCCTTGGCATGTGGGATAAGAGAATCTATGGTTTCCTATTAATGCTGCTCCAATCCTCTTAATGAAGATATTGGGCTGGCTTGGGCACATTTATAGCTCAGGTCATTCTTTCCACTGACACAGATACTGGTGGGGTTCAGAACGATGGGGCTGTGAGGAAGAGGAAGGGGCTGTGAGGAAGAGGAAGGGGCTCTGGGTGTGCTGAACAGGAGGAGCCAGCCCAGGGAAGAGCTGCACTTTGTGTCTGCCACCATCAGAGCCATAAATGAGCTTCAGGGGAAGGGCAAGCAGGAGAATTTCCATGGGCACAAAGGGGGAAGGGAATAAGGAGAAAATGCTCTAAAATATGGAAATAAACAACTGGTGCTCTGTTTAGCTTAAAGCTTTAAGGTGGAGATGTGACAGTAAGAGGAATATATGTGTGCATAGGTGCCTTCACTGTTGTCTCACAGCCTACTGCAGACATTCAATTAATTCAATCCACCAGCAGGTTCTTCTGTGGAAATGTTTGTTTTCTCAGGATCCCCTCTCTGTAGCTGCTGTTTTTCCTGTGCCCCATCTCACTGGAGCACTGAGCAGCCCCCACAGGCAGTAACACAAGCCAGCACTGCAAAGATTAATGTTCCTTCCCCTATAATCCCTTTTTCCCCAGAAAACCCTACAGCACAGAGAGTGGGGCTGTGTGTTGTGTGTGCTCCCAAATTCCCTGACAGGGAGGCGTCAATGTGCAGAAAGACCCTGAGCCCCTGGAGTTTGCTTCTAAATAGGGCACAGCTCAGAACATCTGAAGGTCTCTGGGGCTCATGGGTGGGAATCTCCTAATGGTCTTTAGTTATTTTTATCCGTGCCCAGCGCTCGGTGCTCAGTGCACAGGAGCCACTCTGAGATCTCCTGGGCAGCGCACGGAGCTCCAGCACCTGGGCAGGGAGGAGGAACAGAAAATAAAGCACAGAAGAGGGAAGGTGACACGGCAGGACACAGCACTGACATCAGAGGAAGGCACGGGACAGAGAGCAGACAAAGAACAAAGGACTTTGGCAGGGTTCTTCTTCTTTTCCGTCTGTTTTTAATCCTGCCTTCTGGAGGAAAATGGGGCAGCAGTTCACCAACGCTGAAGGGGAGCAAGGGGAGATTGATGTGGCAGAGCTGCAGGAATGGTACAAGAAGTTTGTGGTGGAATGTCCCAGTGGGACCCTCTTCATGCACGAGTTCAAGAGGTTCTTCGGCGTCCAGGACAACCAGGAGGCAGCAGAGTATGTGGAGAACATGTTCAGGGCTTTTGACAAGAATGGGGTAAGTGCTCAGAGGGTTCTGCAGTCATTTATTTCTGTATATTATATATGTAACAGGGGACCAGCGAGGGCAGGAGGAGCACAGGCTGGCCTGGATTTATCTCCTCAAATCTCCACCTAAATTAAGGTCAGAATGTCCCCTTAAGGGACTAAGGGTGGATTAAAAAGTTGAAACTTGGGCAGTCACACTTTGAGGCCCTCAAACAGCCAAGGCTCCCACATGGCAGAAATATTTCTGTGTTGAGATAGAGGGGAAATCACAGTGCAGGAAAATCCTACCCAGGCTTGTTCTGTGTTGGAGGAAGTGCCTGTAGCAGGTATGAGCAGGTGGTCTGTAATAAAATATTGATTTTAGCTCTGCTTTCCAAGAGCAGAGGAATGCTGAACAATCCAGACATTCTGGGTTTGATTCCCTTTGCCATATTTGCAAATGGAAAAAGTGGGAGTTGTGGTTTAGCCGCAGCTCCTGCATCCCTGCCCTGCTGCAGGGCAGCCTGGCCTGCCTTGGGTTCTCGGCAGCCCTGGCTGAGCAGCACTTGCCAAATGAGCAAATTATTATTTTCCTGAAGCTCCTGATGATATTCCAGCTGTGGGGATGTTTGTTCCTTGTATCAATGAATGTTTGTTCCTTGTATCAATACAGGAAAAGGGGGCTCAGGCTCTTCATCCCTGATCAACTCATCTCCCTTAAGCTCCCTTTGAAAATAGGATCAAAATCTCATGGAAGTGGCAGCAAAAGTCACTTTGTGGGAAAGGATTTAAAAAGGCCATGGAAGATGTTGGCAGGTCAGGCTTGTCTCAGAATTCCAAGTTGTGAAAAACCAAATTCCTGCAGGATCCCAAATTCCGCAATGAAAGCTGTGGGGGAAGGCAGCAGAGCAAGCTGTGCACAGAAGATGGAGTCCCATTCCTAATTTACAGGAGTTCTCCCAACAGGACACAGGCTCTGTTTTTGGGGGTGCTGGTGGGTGCAGGGTGGGGAGGGGAGCCCAGCCTGGCTGCAGGTCCTGGGCTGCCACAAAACCTTCTCGGAGTGCCAAGCAAGCCCTGCTCCGTGCCCTGTCCTCCTGGCAGCTCTGACCAGGCTTCCTGGGGGCTGTACAGCGCTTTTCCATCAGCTCTCTGCCCCGCCAAGTGTCACCCAGCTGCTGATTCTCTGCTGGCACAGGACAACACCATTGATTTCCTGGAGTACGTGGCTGCCTTGAACCTGGTGTTGAGGGGGAAGCTGGAGCACAAGCTGAGGTGGACGTTCAAAGTGTACGACAAGGATGGCAACGGCTGCATAGACAAACCTGAGCTGCTGGAAATCGTCGAGGTAGGTGGGCACTGCCCAATCCCTGCTTTCAGCAATCCCTGCTCTGTGGCAGCGCTCTGGGCTCTGTGGGGTTTGGGGTAACGGGGTTCCAAGGGTGCTGTGGGGCTGAGCAGGTACACAGGCACCTGTGCTCCTGAGCCTGGGGAGAGGCTGGGGAGCACATCCCGCATCTGAGCACATCCCGTATCTGAGCACATCCCATATCTGAGCACAACCCGCATCTGAGCACATCCCGCATCTGAGCACATCCCGCATCTGAGCACATCCTGTATCTGAGCACATCCCATATCTGAGCACAACCCGCATCTGAGCACATCCCATATCTGAGCACAACCCGCATCTGAGCACATCCCATATCTGAACACATCCCGTATCTGAGCACATCCCATATCTGAGCACATCCCGTATCTGAGCACATCCTGTATCTGAGCACATCCCATATCTGAGCACATCCCGCATCTGAGCACATCCTGTATCTGAGCACATCCCGTATCTGAGCACAACCCGTATCTGAGCACATCCCATATCTGAACACATCCCGTATCTGAGCACATCCCGTATCTGAGCACATCCCGCATCTGAGCACATCCCATATCTGAGCACATCCCGCATCTGAGCATATCCCGTATCTGAGCACATCCCGTATCTGAGCACATCCCGTATCTGAGCACTGCTCATCCCCATGTGAGCATCCCAGGGACGTGCAGGGCCCCTCCTGTGGGCAGCAGGGCCCTGGCCAGGAGGGTGAGCAGCTGGGAAAGCAGGGCAGCCTGTCTGGGCCACCTCCCGCTGCAGTTTTGAGGTCAGCCAAGAGGTGCCCAGAACTGTGAGGCCACTGCTAATCCTCTCTGTGGGCAGAGTTGGCACAAAACCCTTCGACCTGGGCAGCAAAGGTAACCACGGGCAGGGGGTGCCGTGGCAGGGGTGGATGCAGTCTGAGCCTTTCCCTGCCAAAGGGGGGCAGAAACTGAGGGTCAGAATGTGAGCTGAGCCGGGCTGGATCGGCAGCTGCTGCCCCAGGGCTGGCTCAGTCCAGCTGGGCCTGGCTTGGGATGCCAGCAAACACTCCCATTCGAGGCCTGTGATATTTCCCATCTGTGGAATTCTCTCTTTGCTCTCTGCCAAGCAGCCCTGGGCTCTGAGCAGTGTGTGTAAGGAGAGCAGGAGGGCAGCAGCCCCACGGAGCAAACGGGGTCACTGGTGTGGGGTCAGGGGCTCCCTCCCAGACCTGAGCTGCTGAGGGGCAGAACCTTCCAGAAGGGTTAAACCCAGCCTTTGGGAGAGGCTGCACAGCCAGGGGGCACGGAGGGCTCAGTGCTTCATGCCCTGACTGGGGAGCTGCTTGCAGTCCATCTACAGGCTGAAGAAGGTGTGCTGGTCGGACGTGGAGGACAGGACCCCGCTGCTGACCCCGGAGGAGGTGGTGGACAGGATATTCCAGCTGGTGGATGAGAACGGGGATGGTGAGTGATGCCCAGGGGCATTCCTGAGAGCTCACCGGGGCTGGGCTGGCCACAGACGCCTGGGCTGTGCTGTGTTCCCACCATGGGCAGCTGGGCCGGTTCTGCTCTGTTCTCACCATGCACAGCTGGGCTTGGTTCTGCTCTGTTCTCACCATGCACAGCTGGGCTTGGTTCTGCTCTGTTCCCACCATGAACAGCTGGGCCGGTTCTGCTCTGTTCCCACCATGGGCAGCTGGGCCGGTTCTGCTGTGTTCCCACCATGCACAGCTGGGCTTGGTTCTGCTCTGTTCTCACCATGCACAGCTGGGCTTGGTTCTGCTCTGTTCCCACCATGCACAGCTGGGCCGGTTCTGCTCTGTTCCCACCATGGGCAGCTGGGCCGGTTCTGCTGTGTTCCCACCATGCACAGCTGGGCTTGGTTCTGCTCTGTTCTCACCATGCACAGCTGGGCTTGGTTCTGCTCTGTTCTCACCATGGGCAGCTGGGCCGGTTCTGCTCTGTTCCCACCATGCACAGCTGGGCTTGGTTCTGCTCTGTTCCCACCATGCACAGCTGGGCTTGGTTCTGCTCTGTTCCCACCATGGGCAGCTGGGCCGGTTCTGCTCTGTTCCCACCATGCACAGCTGGGCTTGGTTCTGCTCTGTTCCCACCATGCACAGCTGGGCTTGGTTCTGCTCTGTTCTCACCATGCACAGCTGGGCTTGGTTCTGCTCTGTTCCCACCATGCACAGCTGGGCTTGGTTCTGCTCTGTTCCCACCATGCACAGCTGGGCTTGGTTCTGCTGTGTTCCCACCATGCACAGCTGGGCTTGGTTCTGCTCTGTTCTCACCATGCACAGCTGGGCTTGGTTCTGCTCTGTTCCCACCATGCACAGCTGGGCTTGGTTCTGCAGGACCTGGCTGGGTCCTGGCAGGGCCTGGGTGAGCCCTGCAGCATCCAGAGCGTCCCTTTGGGGTGGGACAGGGGGGAAATGCTGGGTCACAGCCCCTGGTTTGTCCTTCAGCCTCAGAGCTGGGGGATCCCCTGAGATGGAGCCTGATCAGCATTTTGTGACCCGGGGTGGAACCCTGCTCCTCCTCCTCCTCCCTCATCGGCCTGTCCCGCTCCCGCCCTCAGGGCAGCTGTCCCTGGACGAGTTCATTGACGGCGCCAGGAAGGACAAGTGGGTGATGAAGATGCTGCAGATGGACGTGAACCCCGGCGGCTGGATCACCGAGCAGAGGAGGAAGAGCGCTTTGTTCTGAGAGAGCTGGCTCTGGCACGGCCGCCATGGCGATGCTGAGTCCCGGGGGTGACCCTTCCTCCCTCTAGCCTGGTAACGACTTTCCTTTTAACTCCGTCTCAGCATCCCGATGCAAACCCGAGTGCCCAAAGAGCCGTCTCTGCTGTCAACCCCACGTGCTGGGCACTGCTGGTACCCAGGGACTGTTTCTGGCCCATGAATAACTCTTGCTGTGCACACAATCCCGTGTTTGCCAGCTCTGCTCTTTGGTTACACCCCAAGGAACAAACTCTGGAGGCAGATCCTGAGCAGGGCTTGGGGCTGGCAGTGGGGATGGAGCCTGAGGGCTGTCCCAGAGCAGCCTGGGCACGGCTCAGCCCTGCAGGGCAGCACGGGCGGCTGGGGATGCTCAGGGGGCTCTGTGGGATATTCGGGGGTCCCTGTGGGATCTCAGGGGTCTCTGTGGATGCTCAGGGGGCTCTGTGGGATATTCGGGGTCCCTGTGGGTGCTCAGGGGTCTCTGTGGATGCTCAGGGGTCTCTGTGGGATGCTCAGGGGTCTCTGTGGGATATTCGGGGGTCCCTGTGGGTGCTCAGGGGTCTCTGTGGGATGTTTGGGGGATCCCTGTGGGATCTCAGGGGTCTCTGTGGATGCTCAGGGGTCTCTGTGGATGCTCACAGGGTGTCTGTGGGATGCTCAGGGGGTCTCTGTGGATATTCAGGGGTCTCTGTGTGTGATTTGCCACCTCTACTGCTGCTCATGTCCAACATAACCCCACCAGAAATGAGATTTGGGTGTGAGCAGTGGCCAGGGCAGCGCACAGAGGGAAACAACCTCAGGGCTGGGCAGGAGCAGCAGCAGCTCCTTCCTGCCCCTCCTGGGGACCAGAGGCTGCTCCTTCTGCCTGCCCTGAGCCCGAGGGGCTGAGGGATGCTGGCCCCAAACTCCAGCATTGCCCAGCCCCACTCAGAGCTCAGAACAGCCCGGGTGGGACTCAGCTCCTGCCAGCCCCTGGTTCTGGGGAATCCTCACTGGAGCAGCTTCTCCTGCCCTGGGAGAGGGGATGAGCCCAGGGAGCCCCAGGATTGGAGCCCAGGATTGGAGCTGGGGAATCCTCACTGGAGCAGCCTCTCCTGCCCTGGGAGAGGGGATGAGCCCAGGGAGCCCCAGGATTTTCACCGCTCTGGGAACAGTTTGGAGTGGGAGCAGAGGGGAGGGAGGAGCAGGGCTGTGCTCGGCGGTGTCTCTGCAGTGGAAGGATTCGTGCTGCTCCATTGGCAGGACCACAGAATCAGAAATCAGGGATGGTTTGGGCTGGGAGGAACCTGAAAACTCCCTGATGTCCAAGCCCCCTGCCCTGGGCAGGGATGCCACATCAGTTTGCTCCAAGCCCTGTCCAAACTGGCCTTGCAAAGTGGGAAAAGTGACAAAAATTCCAGTACAGTGGTTTTACACTGGACTTAATTTAGCCCCAGACTGCAAAAATAGAATTTACACAAGTTGCAGGCTGTGCTCTGCTGTTCTAACCCATGTTCCTACATAGATGTATGTGGGAAAAGGATTTGGGTTGAATCAATATTTTGGTTCACCTTTATTGGATTTACTGGTTCATTCAAAAGAAGAAAATCCCCCAGGAAAATAACATGAGCTTGTCTGTTCCATCTGAATTTTCCTATGGGATCAGTGGGCCAGGTCATACCAATGAGAAGATTTACAACCCCTTTTTTGTGGCCTTTAATTAGGACTGCAGTAGCTGTCATTAGCTGATTAGCGTGCTGGTTTGTGGTCTTGTCAGTTTAGCCAGTGTTTAAATTCCATGGGGAAGTGCTCAGGATCAACACAATCAGTGCAGGAGTTCAGATTGTGCACATTTCCACTTTGAAACAGTCTTTCTATGAGTTCTCTGTAAATACTGAGCACTTTGTGCTGTGCTGACTTATCAGGGCTGATTCCACTTGTGCTTTCTGCTGCTCAAAGCTCTCTCTGGTCAATAGTTCATCAGCTCAAGATCTGAGAGAAAAATCTGACTTCTGGTTTGAGAGCCTGGATGAAAACATCCACATTTATTGATTTTCCAGCTTGTGAAAAAATGTTTTCATTGCAGGGTACAAATCTCTAAGAATTCCTTACATTTCAGCATCTCAACCCAGGTAACCCCCCCTGCTCCTTGCACGGACTTAGAGAGGCTGTTTAGTTCATAGAATTGCATTTTGCTGCTTCGCTGAAATGCTTCAAATTCTGCAATGCTGCTCACCTGGCCAGCCCAGGCTCTGCAGGGGCTGCTTGGGGACCCTCCCTGGTGAGCCCCTGTACAGATGCTGGTAGAGGTTTTGTAAAACACGACTTGAATAAAGAAATATTTATTAAAAACCTTTGTTTTGCAGTATCTGTTTGTTGATTAGGTGAAGAGCTGTGTGAGCACCTGAGTGAAACTGCAGCCTGTGAGTGTGATATATTGAATTTAGGGGAGGAGCAGCCGGGTCAGACGGAGATAAGGCAGAGATGACGACGCTGGTGCAGAGTTGGGAAGGAGCCTCTTGTGTTTAACTTCGTGTGATGACAGCCAAACCCGTGAGAGCGTAATTAAAAATACAACGTTTCTCACTGGAACTGGGAAGGGGTGTTCGGAATAAAGAGAGCAGAGTGCTGCAGTGGGATGGGAGTGACCCTGCAGGCCCGGAGCAGCCCTGGAGCTGCAGGGGCTGCGCTGCTGTCGGAGCTGGCACAGCCCGTGGAAAATCCTTCCTCTTATCAATTGTGTAATCTCTGGCCGAGGAACGCAAGGCGCTATTTTAGAGCCCTGGCTACAGGGCCCTGATCTCTCGCAGCCCCATCAGCGCTCATCGGGCCGTGGATGTCAGAATTTGCATAATCCCATTGCCAGACTTAGGACAGGCTCCAATTGGATTGCTCTGATCTGATCGGATTTCTTTCTGCTCTAAACGGGGAAGCAGGAGGGCTCGGAAAAGGCAAATGCCACCTGACGTTTCTGGGCTGCCATCTGCTCCGTGCCCCGAAGGTGCAATAACCGGGCTGGGAAGCTGCAGCTGGGGCTGAGGTGGAAGGGAAGGCGGAGCAGGAGCCAGCGAGGCGTCAATCACACCCTGAAATAGCCCGGGAGGTGCACAGCATCCCTGGGACAGGCTGAGGGGAGGGGGATCCCTGCCCTGCTCCGGGTGCAGCTGAGCCTGGGGCAGGGGCGGCTCCTGGGCCTGGAGTTTGTGCCCAGGTCATTCCCGGAGCACCCGGGGCAGGTTCCCTTGGAAATGTCCTGAGCAAGGCCAGAGTGACCTCCTGAGCCCCGTGCCGGTCACTGCAGGCACCGCCTGTGGTCCCTTACAGCGCTTTTCTTACAGCACTGTGCGCAGCTGGGCCGTGGCAAAACGCCTTTCCTTTCCTTTCCTTTCCTTTCCTTTCCTTTCCTTTCCTTTCCTTTCCTTTCCTTTCCTTTCCTTTCCTTTCCTTTCCTTTCCTTTCCTTTCCTTTCCTTTCCTTTCCTTTCCTTTCCTTTCTTGCTGTCCTTCCTTTTCCCTTCCTCCCTCCCTTTCTCTTCTTTCATTTCTTCAAAGTTAAACTCAGCTCAGAACCTTAAAAGGTGTCTCAAGTTTGGGGGGTCCCTCGGGTTTGTGGTCCCGGGGCTGTTTTGGGGGGTCCCGGGGCTGTTTTTGGGGGGTTTTCTCTCGGGTTTTGGGGGATTCTCTCGGGTTCGGGGTCCCGGTCCCGGCGCGTTCCCGCTGCTCCCGGAGCGGCCGGCAGGGGGCGCTGCGGGACGGGACATGGCGGGAGCGGCGGGGGCAAAAACCGGGACGGGAACGGGAACGGGAATATGGGAACGGGATAGTGGGAACGGGGTAATGGGAACGGGATAGTGGGAACGGGAATATGGGATAGTGGGATAACGGGATAGTGGGAACGGGAACGGGATAATGGGATGGGATGGGATGGGATGGGAATGGGATAATGGCATGGCATGGCATGGCACAGAGATGGGGACAGGGACGGGATGGGGACAAGGATGAAATGGGACAGGGACAGCCCTTTTAGAACTACTTTGGCTTTCTAACTAGAGATCTGGCTGCTTCCCGCTGCCCCTGGGCACAGAGGGGAGCTCGGGGAGCTCTGGCAGAACTGATGCTGTCTGTGCCCAGGGAGGTGCCCAGGAAGCCCACGCTGAGCTCAGCTCCCTCCCCGTGCTGTGCCAAGGCCAAAGGGCTCTGAATTGTGAGCTGGTCACCTGTGGGGGAGTTGGTTGTGTTGCAAGAAGGAGAGTTCCACTGCTGTATTGCGCTAGGATCTGACATTACACTGCTGTATTGCACTAGGATCTGACATTACACTGCTGTATTGCACTGGGATCTGACATTGCACTGCTGTATTGCACGAGGATCTGACATTACAGTGATTTATTGCACTAGGATCTGACATTGCACTGCTGTATTGCACTAGGATCTGACATTGCACTGCTGTATTGCACGAGGATCTGACATTACACTGCTGTATTGCACTGGGATCTGACATTGCACTGCTGTATTGCACTGGGATCTGACATTGCACTGCTGTATTGCACGAGGATCTGACATTACACTGCTGTATTGCACGAGGATCTGACATTGCACTGCTGTATTGCACTGGGATCTGAAATTACAGTGATTTATTGCACTAGGATCTGACATTGCACTGCTGTATTGCACTGGGATCTGACATTACAGTGATTTATTGCACTAGGATCTGACATTACACTGCTGTATTGCACGAGGATCTGACATTACAGTGATTTATTGCACTGGGATCTGACATTGCACTGCTGTATTGCACTGGGATCTGACATTACACTGCTGTATTGCGCTAGGATCTGACATTACACTGCTGTATTGCACTGAGATCTGGCATTGCACTGATGTATTGCACGAGGATCTGACATTACAGTGATTTATTGCACTGGGATCTGACATTGCACTGCTGTATTGCACTGGGATCTGACATTACACTGATTTATTGCACTAGGATCTGACATTGCACTGCTGTATTGCACTGGGATCTGACATTACACTGATTTATTGCACTGTGATCTGACATTGCACTGCTGTATTGCACTGGGATCTGACATTACAGTGATTTATTGCACGAGGATCTGACATTACACTGATTTATTGCACTAGGATCTGACATTACACTGCTGTATTGCACTGGGATCTGACATTACAGTGATTTATTGCACTGGGATCTGACATTGCACTGCTGTATTGCACTGGGATCTGACATTACAGTGATTTATTGCACTGGGATCTGACATTGCACTGCTGTATTGCACTGTGATCTGACATTGCACTGCTGTATTGCACTGGGATCTGACATTACAGTGATTTATTGCACGAGGATCTGACATTACACTGATTTATTGCACAAGGATCTGACATTGCACTGCTGTATTGCACTGGGATCTGACATTACAGTGATTTATTGCACGAGGATCTGACATTACACTGATTTATTGCACAAGGATCTGACATTGCACTGCTGTATTGCACTGGGATCTGACATTACACTGCTGTATTGCACGAGGATCTGACATTGCACTGCTGTATTGCACTGGGATCTGACATTACAGTGATTTATTGCACAAGGATCTGACATTACACTGCTGTATTGCACGAGGATCTGACATTGCACTGCTGTATTGCACTGGGATCTGATATTACAGTGATTTATTGCACTGGGATCTGACATTACACTGCTGTATTGCACAAGGATCTGACATTACACTGCTGTATTGCACGAGGATCTGACATTGCACTGTGAGTAACAGCTCAGCCCACTCTAATGAGGGGTTGATGCCGCTCCCTCCTGCAGGGCTGAGAGTGGACAGGTTGGCCATCAAGGGCTCCTGTCCAGGTGCTGTGGTTTGTGAGCCCCAGAACAACCCCAGAGCAGCTGTTTGTGTGCTTGTGTGAGCCACTAAATCTGCCCTGCTGGAAACAGGAGGGTTGATTGCAAGAGAGGAGAGGCACAACCTGAAATAATATTGTAAAACACCTTTATTAGCTCACCATAGGACTGGAAGTACAAAAGCTTCCAGGTAAAACTCTGTCCAGTGAAAAAGACACACAGGAAAATGGTCAGGAAAATGGTCCTGCTCGTCTGGAAGCACTTCCTTCCTTCCTTCCTTCCTTCCTTCCTTCCTTCCTTCCTTGCAGATCCTTCAGGGAGAAGCATTTCCTTACAGTCCAGGGGGTTGTTAAAAAAAGGCACCATTCCACATTTTTAGTGCTTTTAAACAAAGAAAAGCCACTGCATTCACCCCTCCCCTTGTGCTAGCTCACAAATGTTGTAACTCACATTATCACTGCTCACTGCTGACCAAACAATAATGAGTGAAGGAAGGAGCGACCAGAACTGGAGATTGCTGGCTCTGGAAATTCAAATGGAAGGGGAAGGTTTGGATCTGCTTTTCCAGGACCCCTCTCACGGGGCCAAGTGCTGGTTGGACCCCGCTGGGGGTGCTGGCCACGGCCTCAGTGGATATTTTGGGTGTTCTCAGTGCGATTTCGTTCAGCACAGCCTCGTGCAGCACTGGCTGTCCCCTCTGGCCTCAGTGGCAGTTTTGGGGTGTTCTGAATGAGTTCTTGTTCTGCACAGCCTCGTGCAGCACTGGCTGTCCCCTCTGGCCTCAGTGGCAGTTTTGGGGTGTTCTGAATGAGTTCTTGTTCTGCACAGCCTCGTGCAGCACTGGCTGTCCCCTCTGGCCTCGGTGGCAGTTTTGGGGTGTTCTCAGTGAGATTTTGTTCTGCACAGCCTCGTGCAGCACTGGCTGTCCCCTCTGGCCTCGGTGGATATTTTGGGGTGCTCTCAGTGAGCTCTTACCCCGCACAGCCTCGTGCAGCACTGGCTGTCCCCTCTCTGAGCTCAGCAGAGTGTCCAGAGCCATCCCAGCTCCGTGTGGGATGGACATTGGGTTATTTAGCTCTGCACCCCTCTCCTCTGGCACCCAGGGGCGTCCCCCCGGTGCCCGTGCCAGGGGACAGTTCTGTCAGCAGGGAGTGCAGGCACAGCTGATCAGTGCAGTGCCAGGGGAGGCCAAGGCACAGCCCAGGGAGCTACTGGGCAGCCTGAGCGTCCTGCCCGGCCTCGTGGGGGTTCTTGCCATCGTTCTGGATCAGCCTCACGATGTGGGTCAGGTCCAGGCTGCGCGTCAGGATGTCCAGCAGCATCTCGTCCTTCTGCACGCCCTCCATGAACTCCTCCAGGGACAGCTCGCCTGCGGGGCACAGAGCTCTGTTAAACCCACAGCCCCAGAGCTCCCTGCACCCCCGGACTGGCACAGAGCCTGCACTGTGCCGCAAAGCCCAGCACAGAGCTCTGTTAGACCCACAGCCCCAGAGCTCCCTGCACCCCCGGACTGGCACAGAGCCTGCACTGTGCCCCAAAGCCCAGCACAGAGCTCTGTTAAACCCACAGCCCCAGAGCTCCCTGCACCCCTGGACTGGCACAGAGCCTGCACTGTGCCGCAAAGCCCAGCACAGAGCTCTGTTAGACCCACAGCCCCAGAGCTCCCTGCACCCCCGGACTGGCACAGAGCCTGCAGTGGGGGCCCAGCACCCTCACTGTGCCCCAAAGCCCAGCACAGAGCCAGGGCACATGGGGGGCTCAGCCTGCACAGGGAGCCACCCTCTGCCAGCTCTCCCAGCCTGGTGTCCTGGGGCGCAGGGAAGGGAGGGCAGAGCCCAGGAGGGGCCTCACCGTCTCCATTGATGTCGATTTTGTTGAACACCATGTCTGTGAACTCCTCTGCCGTCATCTTCTCGTTGCAGCGGTTGATGGAGCGAATGGCCTGGGGGGAACGAGGGCACAGGAGTTACCGGGTGCTCTGCAGGGGTGTGGGTGTCCATCAGAACAAGTGGCCAAATCACCAGCACTAAAGGCCAGAGGCTTTTTCAGGGCTAAAACCTATTTTCAGGCAGTTAGGCTTGGAAAGGAGCGAGTCCTGTCTCAAAGGCTGGAGACTAAAATCACCCAAAAAGGCCATCAACGCTTTACAAGATTTACTGGGCATGCTGGGGTAAGCCAGGAGCCATTCACCTCTGAAAACCCTCAGATTAAATGGAGGTGCTTATCTCAGGCCTGGTTTCAGTGCCCAGGGTTAAGCAAGCTGCCAGGGCAGGACAGGGGTGCTGGAGGCACAGCTGGCACAGCTGGCACAGCACAGCAGCAGCTTGGGGCAGTCCTGCAGCTGACCATGGCGTTCATGGCTGGAAGTTCCTGCTGCAGGGCCCACCTGGGCAGGGATGGGGGGCTGTCCCCACTCACCTTGATGATGTTCAGCAGCTCAGCCCGGTCGATGCAGCCGTTGCCATCCACATCATAGAGCTTGAAATACCACCTGAGCTTCTGGTCCACCTTGCCCTTCAGCACCAGGCTCAGGGCTGCCACGTACTCCATGAAATCGATGTAGCCATCCTAAAGGCAGAAGGTTAGAAGTGAGATTAAAAGCAGAGTCAGGCAATAAAGGATTATTTTGGTCGCTTCTGAAGTTCCCCCTGGAGCTGGTCCCCCCACCCTGAGAGCAGGGGCTCGTGGAGTGCAGTGGTGGAAGCCAAGGCTCTGCCTGAATGTGGGCAGAAATGCTGTACAATGATGGAATTACAGAACCATAAAGGCTGGGAAAGGCTCCCAGATCACCCAGCCCAGCCTTGCACAGTTCAATGTTGGGACTGGCTGGTGGATGCGGCTCAGGGACAGAGCTGGCCTGGCTCGGGGAATTAACACACCAGGCATTAATTACCAGCCCAAAGCAGGGGATCCAGAGGTCACAGAGGTTCATGCACATGAGCCCTGATGAATCCCCCAGCCCCACCCTGCCTGCGCACACCCTCAGCTCCTTTCTCCTGCCTGGGGTCCCATTCCCAGGAGAGGAGCACGCTCAGGGGTGACCCCAGCACGCTGTGACATCTCGGGCTGGGGTTCCTCTGTCCCTGTGCCATTGCTGTGCCCGCTCCACGTTTGGAGCACAAACACTTTTATCTTTGACTTTCCTGCCGGCTGTTTGCCCACCCCAGCTGGTGCCATGGTTTGGGTGCCCATCTGGAGCCAGGGTGGTGGCAGCACTGCAGAGCTGCTGCCCAAAGTGCCCCCAGATGAGCCTGTGACGCCCACAGCTCCCAGGGGGCTGTTAAATGCCTCCTGCCCCCCCCAGAGCCTTCCCATGCTGTTTGAAAGGATCCATTGCCCCGCTGTGGTTGTGGCACTTCCCTGCAAGGGCTCCTGGGGCACTGGGGACGCGCTCATGGTGAGCTCAGGGGTCCCAGGGCCCTTTCCACCCTCAGTGATTCCAGGATTCGCAGCGCAGAGCATGAGCCAGGGTTTGTCAGTGAGCAGAGGCACTGCCCCGGGGCCAGGACCTTGCAGAGATCATCTGCTTGATCCCAGGGCTGCAGCAGCCAGATTAGGGACAAATAACTGCTAAGCCCCTTCCCAGCAGGATTTCCTGTGCATCAATTCCCCTTTCAGGCGGGCATTCAAACACAGCGGTGAGCAAGGGAAAGGCCAAGGCACCAACCAAACACCTGAAGGATTTAGGGCCTGATTTGCATTTTTGTCAATGGGATTAATGCCGTAAATCCTTTGGGTTGCCATAAAATAGATTCCTCACCTCACAGGAGGTGCAATTTCAGGTCATTTGCAAGCAGAGGAGGATGCAGTTTCCTGTTGGAGACACAGCATCCACATGCTTCCCAAAAATCCCAATGTTCTGGGACTGCATTCCCAAAAATCTGCTCTGGGATTGCATTCCCAAATCCCTGCTCTGGGATTGCATTCCCAAATCCCTGCCCTGGGATTCCATTCCCCAATCCCTGCTCTGGAACTGCATTCCCAAAAATCTGCTCATGGATTACATTCCCCAATCCCTGCTCCAGGACTGCATTCCCCAGTCCCTGCCCTGGGATTCCATTCCCCAATCCCTGCTCTGGAGCTGCATTCCCCAATCCCAAAGCCTCTCCCCAGGGATTCCAAGCTCCCTATCCCATGGAATAAAATCCCTCCCACTGCAATCCCTTCCCAGTTTCCAGTTTCCCAGAGCACAAGCAGCCCCAGCCCGTGCTGGGGACTCACTGAATGCAGCCCTTGTGCTCACAGCCACTGTCACAACATTCAGTGTTTAGGGATTAAAGGGCACTTCATTTTAAAGGGATCAAAGGCTGCCAGATGGAGCCCCCTGTTCCAGAAGGAAAATTCTGGGAGAAGCCTGTGTGTCCCTGCAGGGCAGGCAGTGGGTGAGGGTTCCTGCTGGCATTTCTCACGTCCCACAACCGATTCCACACTTTATGAGGCTGCAGTGAACCAGGCTGCACATACCCAGAGCAGGTTCTGCTCCCTCCCTCCCAGCCAGCCCAGCCCTGCACGGCCCAGTGGGAAGGACAATATTTACCTTATTAAAGTCAAACGTCTCAAACATTTGCTCAACGTATTTGTTCGCTGCCGGACTCAGGTTTTTCAGGCCAAAAAACTGTTTGAACTCGTAGAGGGTGAGCTGGCCAGAAGGACACTCTGTCATGAACTTCTTGTACCACTGGTGGCACTCGGTGGTGCTCAGCTCCTCCACGGTTTTCCCGTCCATGTTCCCCATCTCCACACCGGCTGCTGGGCCCTTTGTGGCCAAAAACGGAGCGTTTGTGAGATTTAGGGAAAATAAAACAATCTCACAATTCTGCTTCTTGCCTTCGATGTCCCCAGCAGCGCAGGGTCAGGGCATCAGGAAATCCCTGGTGCTGTACAGATCCCAGCAGGGATGGACGCAGGAGGCTCCTCTTGCTGGCAAACCCAAAAGCACAGAGCCCTCCTTGGATGGAAGGTGGCATTTAAGCACCCAGCAAATCCCTCCCCGGCCAATGAGGCTCCTGCCAGGCATTAAGGGTTCAGGTTAAAATAGAAAAAGGTAAAATGGGGAAGTCTTGCAGATTACAGGCCCAGCAGGAGATTAGGAGGGTGGAATTTTCTCTGTGATGAGCTAATCTCTTAATCCACTTCATTTATCTTTATGGCAAGGGGGGCTGGCATCACATGAGCAACAACTTTTGGACCAGAACCAGAGTGGGAAAAATGAGAGAAAGCCACTCTGGATCCTCTGTGCTGTTTGTGCTTTTTGCTGTGCCTTCCCCTCACTCTGCCAGAGGGCTCCAGAGCCTGGAACTCGGGCAGGGGCAAGAGCCAAAGAGCCACCTCAGCTCCTGAGGAGACAGCAGGAGGGTGAATTTGGTCTGAGGAGACAAATATAGAAATGTAATTGCCTTGAATGGTACAGGTTTAAGTCTGCTTTAATTGCAGACAGCAGGAAGGGGAAGGGCTCTCCCCCCAGCTCCAGGGGTCCTGTGTCCAGTCTTGGTGTTGCATATTGAGTGGTTTTTGCCCCAAAATTGTCCCACACCCTGCTCACCCCAGCAGTGTGTCCTGGCTGCTGCGCTACAAACTCAGTGCCGTTAAATGCAGCTTCAATTTTTACTCGTGATGGATCGCCATGAAAAATTCTCCGTGTAAAACAAGCAAATCCAATGTTGTTTTCACTTTGGCACACAGCATTCTGAGAAATACTCAGGAATAAAATCTCAGAAAGCGCCATGGGCCAGATCCTGGGCTGGAAGTGAGAGGTGTGAGCCCAGGGTGTCCCACAGAGTTTGTCCATAACACACATTTAATATATAACTGCCGTTATCTAACAAGTAACAGAGGCCAGTATTGCTTCTGCACCTCAGTAAATTAGGAATAACTCTGCTAAAAAAAGCAGCATTACACAATCAAAAACCACTCACGGAAAAGGAATTAAGCTGAGGAGCGCTAATTGGATGTGCTAATTCTGTAGTGGCCCTGTTGAGCAGGTGAGGCTGCAGAGGAGCCCCGGGCCCAGCCCAGGCCGTGCTGAGCCAGGTGAGCTGGGCTGGGTGGGCTGGCAGTGCCCTGTGCCGCGGCACCCGGGCAGCAGGAAGGGACAGGGCGGGCTGGGCAGGGCCGCAGAGCAAAATGCACGCTGCATATTTCCCTGGGGAGCAGCGGCACAGCCTCCCCACCCATTGCAGCCGCCCTGCCCGAGGCTGTCACACCGAGGGGACGCTGCTCACACCCATGGGACACTGCTCACCCATGGGACACTGCTCATACTGATGGGGCACACACAGTGCCTGTGGCTGTCACACCGAGGGGACACTGCTCACAGCCATGGGACACTGCTCACAGCCATGGGACACTGCTCACACCGATGGGGCACACACAGTGCCTGTGGCTGTCACACCGAGGGGACACTGCTCACACCCATGGGACACTGCTCACACCGATGGGGCACACACAGTGCCCGTGGCTCTCACACCCATGGGACACTGCTCACATCCATGGGACACTGCTCACACCGATGGGGCACACACAGTGCCCGTGGCTCTCACACCCATGGGACACTGCTCACATCCATGGGACACTGCTCACCCATGGGACACTGCTCATACTGATGGGACACACACAGTGCCCATGGCTCTCACACCAACAGGACACTGCTCACAGCCATGGGACACTGCTCACACCAATGGGACACACTGCCTGTGGCTGTCACACCTGTGGGACATGGTGCCCATGGCTCTCATACCATGGCACACTGTCACCCTGCGCTGTCCCAGGCCTTCATTGCCCCACGGCACACTGTCCCCCCGTGCTCTCACACCATGGCACACTGTCCCCCCGTGCTGTCACACCATGTCACACTGTCACACCATGGCACACTGTCCCCCCGTGCTGTCCCAGCCTTTATTGCCCCCAGGGACACTCTATTGCCCCCCGGCTACGGCTTGGGGCCGCGGCAGGCTCGCCACTTGCGGATGTCGGTGCTGGGCACCCCGAGCCGTGCCCGGCCGTGCGCGGTGCCCTCCTGGAAGCGGAAGCCGCAGAAGGGTTTCTGCGCCGTGCAGAACGGGGCCAGCGAGTTGGGCCAGGCCCGCTGGTAGAACACGAAGCCGAAGGAGCTGAGCGGGCGGCCCCCGGTGTGCACCACCACGGGCACCAGGTGTGTGCCCGGGGGGGCGCCGGGGGGCGGCCGCTGCCTGGGCCTGGGGGGCGCCCGGGGGACCCCCGGCTCTGCCTCGGCCTCCTGCATCCCCGGGCTCTCCATGGTGGGCTCTGCAGGGGCTGCTGCTGTGCCAGCCTCCTGTGGGGGAGCAGATGCAGAGAAATGTGAATTGCCCCCGGCTCAGCATCCTCAGCAGGGCAGGCAGGCACTGTGAGTGCTGAGGGGTTTGCACATCCAAAATCTGAGCTGGTGCTGCTTAAAGAGAAAGGGACTTTAAACCCAAATGATGCTCTGGAAATATGGAAGTGGCTTTAAACAAATGCTGAGAGAATAGGAATGGTAAGACACAAAGGGCTTGATTCTCGCTTGGCTCTCAGTTACAGCAGTGATAAATCCAGCAACAAACACTCCTGGTGATGGCAGCAGCCACAGCCATGGCAAACCTGCCTCGAAAAGGGCTCAACACAATCTGAGCCAGCAGGACGTAGCAGTAATGGCAGAACTGGCACTGCCCTTTGGGGCAGCAGCTCTGGGTGCCTCTGCAGGGACCCCACTGCTCCCCGAGCCCCCTCCTGCTCTGGGCATTGCTCTCAGTCCATCTCCATGTGGGTTTTACCCCAGAAATGTGAGGGATGCCTGCCCACCCAGGGCACAAGGAGCAGGGAAAGAGCCCTGGGCATCTGCGAGAGCCCTTGGCAGAGGAGGGGAGAACACGAGCCCCAGGACACACAGGGGTGAGCTGTGACCCACAGGGCTGGCTGTGACCCCCAGGACACACAGGGGTGAGCTGTGACCCACAGGGCTGGCTGTGACCCCCAGGACACACAGGGGTGAGCTGTGACCCACAGGGCTGGCTGTGACCCCCAGGACACACAGGGGTGACCCACGGCTGCTGCAGGGCCGTGCTGGGCTGCAGACACGTTTCTGCTGCTGTTACCTAAGCATGACTCAGTTATCTTGTTTTCATTGACGACACCTCTGTGCGAATGGAAACTGCCTCTTCCCTCAGCAATTAGCCACCCTGTCCTAAATAAATTCTCTGCTCTTTGGCTCTTTGCTTATTTTTAACCCTGTAAAGAGGTTTCCTACTTTCCGTGACGTACTTGCTGCTATTTCTGTTCCCCGGCTCCTAAATCTATTAAGAAGGGGAATGCCTGCAAATTGTTTGGAAATCCCCTTAGAGCCTCTGAGGGGAATCACCAGCTCCCTGCAGGTTCGCCACCTCTTTCTGTCTCTCATTTCTCCAGTGGACCTCAGCTCACAGAGGTTATTCCACAGCTGCTGCCACAAGGAAATCTCAGTCCATTTCCCCAGGGGATAAAGTAATGGCATTTTGACTGCTGAAAAGCAGATTTTAAACCATCTCAATGAGGTTTGTGAGCCCTGTTCTGGCCTTGGATTGCTCAGGAACCGCTGTTTTCACACAGGTGAGTGCTGGCAGCCCCTTTGCCCTTTGGAGGAGCCAGGCACACACAGGACCGTGCTGTGCCTGTGCACCCACCCAGCAGGAGCACGCAGTCACAGTTTGGGCGTGGGGGGGAGGCTGCAGCTGCCCTGGCAGCCCCATTGCCAAGTCATGCAGGTGCCTAGGGATGAGCAGGGCTCTGCAGTCACTCAGCGCTGAGCTCTGCGCTCTGGCTCTGCCCCTGCCCTGGGGCTGCCCCAGGCTCCTGCTCCCCCTCCGGGGCCCTGGAGCCCTGGGGGCAGCTCAGAGGCTCCTCCGGCCCGGGTGGAGGCACCTGCCTGGTGAGCCCTGCCTCGGAGGGGAAGCACCAGCTTAAGGTCCAGGTGCTATTTATGGCTCCGTGCCTCAATGGAGAGTCCCACTAATCCTATTGCACCCGTTCCTACGCAGAGAGATCCCTAATCCCTCCCAAACTGCTGCTGGCCGTCACAGCAAATCCCCCGGAGGGTCCCAGGGAAAGGCTGCAGGAGGGGTTCAGAGGGAAACCTCCCTGGGGAGGAGCTCCTGGGCAGCTGCCAGAGCCTGGCCACTACCCTGGAGCCATCCAGAGCCATCCCTGATCCATCCCTGATCCATCCCTGATCCATCTCACAGCCATCCCAGAGCCCAGAGCCATCCCTGGAACCATCCCAGAGGAATCCAGAGCCATCCAGAGCCATCCAGAGCCATCCAAGCAGCAGCTGTGTTTGCCCTGCGCTCTCAGCACCGCAGGGACACAGCCCCTGATGGCAGCAGCAGGATTTGCAGAGCAGAAATGGGATGGAGCCTCCCACTGACATCACCGTGACCTGGTCACCCTCAGAGCAGGAGCTGCAGCCCGCAGGAAGGGGACAGGGTGGCACAGTGCCCTGCTGTGAGCTGGGACACCCACCTGGTGCTGCCAGGAGGGAGGCCCTGCAGGGTGGCACTGTGTGGGCAGAGGCAGGGCCAGCACTGCAGGGCAGCTCTCAGGGCTCCCAGGGCATTGTGACCTCAGGGCCACGGTGACCCCGGGGTGTCACAGGGGTGCACAGGAGCACATGGGGACAGGGTTTAAGGATTTACAGCCCTGCAGCAGCTGGGGCTCTGCAGGACACTGCTGGCACTGCCCCCCCAGCTGCAGCACGGGCCCTGCCCCCTGTCCCGTTCCTCTATCCCTGTTTGCTGTTCTGAGGACACACCTGAGGGATTCTCCTCACACCCCTTCCTCCTCCAGGTCCAGCCCTCGCTGCACAAACCCCTCTGACACCCACGAGTGCAGCAGGAACCTTCCACATGTGAGGGTGCAGCTGCTCCCCTGATGTGAAAGCAGATTGTTCTGGGTGTTTACCGTGTTGGGATCAAAGGCAGCCTCACAGTGTGCCGTGTTACATCACACCACTGCTCACACGGCGCTTTCTCTGCCATAAAATCTGCTGGAGATCTTCCAAGCGCTTTCCTGAGCTCCGCGCCCAGCCCAGCAGTCCCTTTGCTGTGTGGCCTCAGTCACAGAGCAGTGACAGCTGTGCTTGCTCAGAAACTCAGCCCCGGCGCCCAGCCTGGCACCTCCTGCGGCTCTGGAGCTGCATTTCACAGTGCCCAGCCTGCTGCCCGTGCTGCTCCTGAGCTGCTGCCGCCCCTCTGAGGGGAGGTCTGGCAGCTGGAAGGTGAAACCAAACATCTTTGATCTGAACACACAGATGGGAACGTGCACCGGAGCCCTGGCAGGGCTGGGCAGCAGCTTGTGCTCTGTGGGGCGAGAAATTCACCTGGGGATCCCTGCGTGCAGTGAGGGCGATGTTTACTGCCTACCACGCAGGGCGAGGCAGGGCTGGGATGTGGGCATGTGGGGTGTGGGGATGTGGGGATGTGGGCATGTGGGGTGTGGGCATGTGGGGCAGAAGCAGGGCTGGGATGTGGGCATGTGGGGTGTGGGGTGTGGGGTGGGGGTCTGTGGGCGTGTGAGGATGTGGGGTGTGGGGATGTGGGGGTGTGGGGATGTGGGGCAGGAGCAGGGCTGGGGTGCCAGGGCTGGGATGTGGGGCAGGGGCAGGGCTGGGATGTGGGGATGTGGGGTTTGGGGATGTGTCACCCCCAGCCCTGGAGCACCCCAGCAGTGACAGGAGCAGCTGAGTCACCCCTGCTGCTCCCACCCCTCTGAAGTCTCCTTGCTGTAACAATCAGATTTTGTGGGACACCTTCGTGCAGGAGCCCAGGCTCTCTCACTCCACAGGATTTTATTGGCTTGGCCGCTGCAGCTCTGTTCTTTTTTTTTTTATTTTTTTCCTCCTAAAGAGAAATAAAATTTATTATATGTTGAAATAGCTGGCTTCTTGCTCTGGTGTTCTAGGCAGAACAAAATGTGACTGAATGCTCTCAGGAAAGCCAAAACAAGATTACAGAAGTAATATGTTGCTGCACTAAAATCACTTTCGCTTGATAATTTCTGGTTTCCAGCTGACAGGATGGGTTTCTTCAGTAGCGGCATCATCTTTGTGTACTTTTATCAGCTTCAGCTGTTGGCAATCTGCTTTCTGGCTGGTCAAAACCACAAGCAAACATTCCTGATTCACTGTCCAAGGAAGCTGGCTGCACAGCTGCAGAAATTGTACCCAGTTCTGCAGCCCCAGAGGTGCATGGCACCATTACCAGCTCCTGACACCAGACCACCGCCAGAATGTGCAGCCAGCGTGTTTCCAACAGCATTGTCACCAGAGAGGTTCTGAATGAGGATTCCAGCCGGGAATTTCCACGCGGTGCCAGCTGTGGCTCTGCTGCAGCAGGGATCCTGCACAAGGGGGGAGTTTTCCTCTGCAGCTCCAGGGGTGCTGAGGTGGGCCTGGGCTCCCTCTGGGAAGGCAGGGGAGAAGAAAGCTGCTCCTCTGGCAATGCAGGGGGCAGAGGCTGCTGTTTCCCAGTTCCCATCCCATCCCATCCCATCCCATGCCATCCCATCCCATGCCATCCCTCTCTTTCCCGCAGGCAGGACAATCCCCTCTCCCCCAGCCCACTACAGTGCCAGGGCAGCTCTCTGTCTGTCTGTCTGTGTGTCTGTCTGTCTGTGTGTCTGTGTGTCTGTGTGTCTGTGTGTCTGTGTGTCTGTCTGTGTGTCTGTCTGTGTGTCTGTGTGTCTGCAGTGGCGTTTCCTCTCACAAACACCATTTAAGATAACTGTCAGGACACGGCACTAATTGCAGGGCTGGCGCAGGGAGCGGCCCCAGCCAGGGAGAGGCACCCGAGCAGCGCCCGGAGCCGCAGCCCCGCTGAAATCCCCGAAAATCCCTTAAAGTGTCCGAGCTTCTCTGCCACGGCCACGGAATTGAGTTTGACATTTTAATTCTCCTTTTCCTTCCCCGTTTCCCGTTCTTAATTCACTTTATTTAAGTGCTGCCTCGTATCTGTGCCACGATTAGACTTTTGGAATATCATAACAGCGCTCATTTTTCATTGATCACAAGGTATTTAATGTGTTGCTTTACTTAGTTCTTTAAAGCAAAAAAGAAGATGCTTTTCACAAGAAAAACATCATTTTAAAGCGATTAAGAAAGTGATATTTATCACTGAAAAAAATCAATCTATACTGTTTTGACTCTCAAAACTTGATAGAGATAGAAAGAGGTCTAAGATGTTAACACCTGGAGGAGCGGGACACCTGGCAGAGCAGGGACACCTGGATGAGCAGGGACACCTGGAGGAGCGGGGACACCTGGCAGAGCAGGGACACCTGGCACAGCAGGGACACCTGGATGAGCAGGGACACCTGGATGAGCAGGGACACCTGGCACAGCAGGGACACCTGGCACAGCGGGGACACCTGGATGAGCGGGACACCTGGATGAGAGGGACACCTGGCAGAGCAGGGACACCTGGCACAGCAGGGACACCTGGATGAGCGGGGACACCTGGATGAGCAGGGACACCTGGATGAGCAGGGACACCTGGCACAGCAGGGACACCTGGATGAGAGGGACACCTGGCACAGCAGGGACACCTGGATGAGCAGGGACACCTGGATGAGCAGGGACACCTGGCACAGCAGGGACACCTGGATGAGAGGGACACCTGGATGAGCAGGGACACCTGGATGAGAGGGACACCTGGCAGAGCAGGGACACCTGGCACAGCGGGGACACCTGGATGAGCGGGGACACCTGGATGAGAGGGACACCTGGATGAGCAGGGACACCTGGCACAGCAGGGACACCTGGATGAGAGGGACACCTGGATGAGCAGGGACACCTGGATGAGAGGGACACCTGGCACAGCAGGGACACCTGGATGAGCGGGACACCTGGCACAGCAGGGACACCTGGCACAGCGGGGACACCTGGATGAGCGGGACACCTGGCACAGCAAGGACACCTGGCACAGCGGGGACACCTGGATGAGCGGGGACACCTGGATGAGAGGGACACCTGGCAGAGCAGGGACACCGGGCACAGCGGGGACACCTGGATGAGCGGGGACACCTGGATGAGAGGGACACCTGGCACAGCAGGGACACCTGGATGAGCGGGGACACCTGGATGAGAGGGACACCTGGCAGAGCAGGGACACCGGGCACAGCGGGGACACCTGGATGAGCGGGGACACCTGGATGAGCGGGACACCTGGCAGAGCAGGGACACCTGGCGGAGGGCGGGCCCGGGGTGGGTGGGGCCGTCCCCGCCCCTCCGGAGCTCTCGGCCCCGTCCCCCCGGAGCCGCGGGATGCCCGGCGCGGCTCGGCTCGGCCAGCATGAAGAAGCACCAGCCGCACTCGGTGCAGGGCACCTTCAGCCGCCTGTTCGGCAAGCGCCACTCCAGCCCCAGCGCCGCGTCCCTGTTCGCCACCAACCCGCCCTGGATCTTCACGCAGGAGGTGACCTCGGACAGCGCGGGCGGCACCGGTCAGTGCCCAGCGTCCCCCGGCGGCCGCGGGGCTCGGACGGGCGCTCCCGGGGCAGGAGGGCGCGGTGGGCTCGGGGGCTGCGCTGCTGCCCGGCCGGGGGGCTCCGGGAGGGTCGGGGGGCTCCGGGAGCGCTCGGGGGGCTTTGGGAGCGCTCGGGGGGCTCCGGGAGCGCTCGGGGGCCCCGGGATGCGGCAGCGCCGGTCCCGCAGCTGTGCCCGAGCTGGAGCGGGGTGTCCGCACCCCGGCTGGGTCGCTGCCGCTCCCGGCGGGTTAAACTCGGCTCGAAGAGGCCGATGAGTGAGTGAAAATTCACTTTATTGCTTCCCGTCGCGCTTTCCCACGCCATGTTTGATCCGCGCCTTGCCCGCTCCGAGTTATTTACTCATAAACCTGTTTCTCGCAGGGCTGCGAGCGAGGACGGAGCTGAGGGTTGCATATTCCTCGGGATTTATTTGTGTTTCTTTGTGGTTTTAATTGCAATACGGTGCCCTGGAGGCTCATGTAGGAGGGAGCCAAATTAATAGTAATGGAGCCAGGGAGATAGAAGATAGCAGTTTGTGGATGAAGTTTGGTGGCTCTAAGAGCCCAGCAAACTCTTCCAAGATTAAAAAAATGGAAGCGCTGCCTGCTGAGCTGTGCAGGGCCAAGTATTGTCTGTGAAAGCAACTGCGAGGTGGTTACACCCCAAAGGCCAAGCTGCTGAAACCAAGATAAAATGAAAATGCGACAGGGAGTTTCGTGCAACTCTGCAACCTGGGAGGAAAATTGCTGATTTCTAACTGTCGTAAATCTGAGGAGGATTCAAGCTTCTCTCTGATGTGGTTTGGATTAGAAAAAAGAAAAGTTGCTGTGTCTGCTTATTAGGAGCCTGATTTCCGTGGCTGCGGTTCTGCAGGGGCAGTAGGGAGGCTTTCTGCTTTCTGCTCAGGTGTGGGTCGGAGTGCCGGGGAAGGGCCGGGAATCCTGAAACCCGAGCCTGGGGAGCAGCAGCTGGTGGATCGCTCCTTCCTTAGCATCCTCCTGCTGGGGTTTGTGCCCGGGATGGGCTCGGTGAGGGTGCGGTGGGACACCGTGGCTAGGGGAATAGCAGCCAAAAGAGACAGCTCAGGAAGGGGGACAGCAGGGACAGCAGCTCAAAGGGACAGCCCAAAGGGAGGGCAGCAGCCCAAAGGGAGGGCAGCAGCCCAAAAGGGGGCCAGCTGTGCTGTCCCCAGACCCACACACAGCCCGCCCTGCCCCAGCCCTGGCCCCGTTCCTGGCCCGTGTCCTGCAGGGCTCCGTGCCTGGAGGAGTCCCCTGCTCCTGCAGATCCCCACCTTGGTTTCTCATACAAAGTAAACACAAGTTAGGCAATGTGCGATGGGTGTAGGTTTGCATGTCCCTGACTCAGAGATTCCTGAATATAGTGACTGCAGCCTCCTCCTCCTCCCGCTGTGGGCACCCCGGCTCAAACCTGCTGCGCCTCCTCCAGGTGATGCAACCCCCGGGGAGGAAGAAGTTCCATTACATGCGTGGCAAATTGTTTATTTGATTTCCCGTGGCCGAGCAAACGCGAATGTCTCCGGGACAGGCTGGATGCCAGAGAGTGGCCCAAGCAAGGCTGGAGCTTTCAGCCAGCTGCTCCCCACAGCTTCCAAGGGTGCATTTCCTGATCCTCCTTCCAGGAAAGGAGGCTGGCAGGGCTCAGGGCTTGCTGCTGATGGGCTCCCAGCAGGCAAGTCCTGTTTATCTAGCAGAGAAAACACAACTACAAGCACTTCATTTTCCTTTAATTAAAGCATTCAGGGTAGCGATGCTTAGTAATCTAGGATCAAAGTCCCTGTGATCTTTAATCCAGTTTCTCACTGGGTTTACCTAGTGACTGTTAAATATAAAACTCATCGTTTCAAGTCTCAGAACTGCTCTGTTGCTGCTTGGGCTGTCTGAGTCCAAACTCTCCTGTTGCCTTGGCCTTAATTCCTGCTCCTTACTCACTGCATGTGGGGTCACCGACAGAATTAATCATCACAGAATCACAGAGTGATTGGGTGGAAAGGGACCTTAAAACTCATCTCATTCCATTCCACTCCCCGTCACGGGCAGGGACACCTTCCACCCGGTCAGGCTGCTCCAAGCCCCATCCAGCCTGGCCTTTAACGCTTGCAGGCAATTTGCTGGCACCTCCTGTCCTCCCTGGGACTGCAGCAGCTCCTCCTGGTGCTTCTGGGCCCCTGGCAGGCTCGGTAGGACCAGGCTGGCTGAAGCACAGCTGGGCGGTCATTTGAAAGCTGGAGAAAATGTCCTGCGTGTAAAGAATCACGGGTGGTGGGAGAAGTTTGGTGTGAGGGAGGGGAGGCTGTGAGTGCCTGCAGGGGCAGGGGCAGCAGGGCAGATGCTCCTGGGGGTGTCCCAGGGTAACCTGGGGGTGCTGGGTGGGAGAAGGCAGAAGCTGGCGTGCTCCTGGGCTCTGTGGTGTGTTTGAAGGCTGTGTGGAATTCTCCTGCCTCCATCCCTCAGCAGAGGCTGTGCTGCCTCATGCCCAGCCCCTGGTGTGGTCAGGTTCCCCATTCCAGGTGTTCATGCAAGTGTTTTCCTCCTGTGGGACGCACACAGAGCATTTGCCCTCCTCTTGTTCCTGGACTTGGGGTCAAGCTGTTTCCTTGGGAGGTTCCTCCTCGTTTCTGCCCATCCTTCTTCTCCTCCCTTCCTTTACTATCAAAGTCTGTTGTTGGGAGCACTCCTGCAGCTTTCCCTTCAATCAGAGCCATTTCGTTGTTTCCCCTCCTTCCTCAAACTCCCAGAATTTCTTTAATGTCTGTCTCCTTGGCTACGAGTTATTTGTGTATCTCCTTCCAGCCAAGGTGGGGTTTACGTGCTTCGCTATTTTCTGCTTGTTAATTCATGCTGCTAATCAGGCACAAAGAACGTAATTAAATTAATTTTATGAGCTTTATTCGCTGTCAGAAATAAACCAGCCCAAGAGGTGTGGCTCCAGGTGAAAGCACAAGGCTGGGAACCAGGAATTCCTGACGGCTGCTCCTGCTTGTCACAGCAGGGCCCTGGGACTTGCTGCCCTGCTGTCTCCCCACGCAGGGCACTGTTCTGTGGGCACTGCTCTGTGGTGGAGCACCTGGCATCCCTCTGGCTGGGATGGCAGAGCTGTGCCCAGAGTGCTGGGCAGGGCAGGAGCTGTCCCTGCTCCTCCCTATCCATTCCTGCTGCTCAGCCCAGCCAGGATTGCCTCCTGTTCCTTCTGAGCTGCTCCAGCTCGTCCTGCAGAGCTCAGGGAAGGCTCTCTGTGCTCTGCAGGAGCGTGACGTGGCTATGAGTGCCTGTCTTGCACACGGGGAGGTTCCTGTCCTGTGTTCCCCTCGTTTCCAGGACACCCAGCTTTAACTCAGGGTCTGATGGGCTCTGCAGGAGTGTGACAGGGCTGGGAGTGCCTGTCCCACGCACAGGGACCCTCCTCTCCTGTGTTCCCCTCATTTCCAGGGTGCTGTGCCCACCCCTGGGGCTGCTGCAGTGAGTTCTGCCCAGCTCTGAGCTCAGGGTGTCTGTGCTGCTCTCAGCAGTGCCCAGCTCAGTGCTGCTGCTGCTCACTCTCTGCTCTCCCCACAGGTGATGTGATCGAGGTCTATTACGGGGACAATCGCTTCGGGACGGTGACAGACTCGGGCACGGCCACGCTGAAACCCCGCCCGAGGGTCCGGCCCCTGCTGACCTTCCTGCCCCTGGTGAGTGCCCCAGCACTGCTGGGCTGGAACTGGTGCCCGGAATGAACAGGGCTGCCCTGGTGCCCAGTCACTGCTGGGCTGCCCTGGTGCCCAGTCACTGCTGACCTTCCTGCCCCTGGTGAGTGCCCCAGCACTGCTGGGCTGGAACTGGTGCCCGGAATGAACAGGGCTGCCCTGGTGCCCAGTCACTGCTGGGCTGCCCTGGTGCCCGGTCACTGCTGACCTTCCTGCCCCTGGTGAGTGCCCCAGCACTGCTGGGCTGGAACTGGTGCCCAGAATGAACAGGGCTGCCCTGGTGCCCAGTCACTGCTGGGCTGCCCTGGTGCCCAGTCACTGCTGACCTTCCTGCCCCTGGTGAGTGCCCCAGCACTGCTGGGCTGGAACTGGTGCCCGGAATGAACAGGGCTGCCCTGGTGCCCGGTCACTGCTGGGCTGCCCTGGTGCCCAGGCCCAGAGCTGCTGCTCTCAGCCGAGGGGAGCAGAAATGAAAGCTGAACCCCTCTGTAATGAGGCTGGCTATGAGGGACTGGGGGTGTTTTGAGCTCAGGCCGCTCTGAAGCGTGGATGAGGCACTGGGGGTGAGGTGTGAGCACTGTCAGATTGCATTTTCCATTAAAAGCTAATTGCTGAGCACGGGGATGGTAGATCAGGCTTGCACTGCAGTTCATCTCCCCGGTGCTGTCCCAGATCAGGAGTGTGGCTGGAGCCAGCAGTGCTGCACCAGTCCTGCTGAGCACAGGGTGAGGTGATGCTGTGGCTCTGCAGGGGTGATTCTCTTCCATCTCTGTATGAAAAACCATTCCCAATCCTCAGGCTGTCCCCAAGCCCTGCTGCTGCTGCCCACAGGCACAGCTGGCCCTGGGGCTCTCTTTCCCTTCTGAGGGTCCCTCACAAACCTGGGTTTCCCCTCCAGTCCCAGCTGTGGCTGAAGGAATCGGCAGGCAAAGGCAGCGTTGGAGGCCCGGTGTGTGCTGGGTGCTTGCACGCTTTTGGTGAGGTTGGATGATGATTTGATCTGGCACTGCCTCTGCTGCTGCCTCGCACATACCTGCCCCAGGTACACACCTGCACGGGGCTGTTCTGCAGCTCCTGCCTTAACCCTTTCCACCCACCCACCCAGGAGCGGCTCTGGGTGAGTCAGGAGGGTGCTCCCGCCCTGCCCTGCAGCTCCTGAGCCTCTGCACCTGGCAGCTCTTCCCCAGGAGCAGCAGCTCCCTGCCCCAGCCCTGCTGTCCCCCAGGAATGCAGCAGGGAGGGCACAGAGGGGTCCCCCTGCTCCCCCAGCACTGCGGGTATCCCAGGGAATGAACTCCTGCAGCAAACTCCACACTGCCCTACTCAAAACCAGGGACTTTGGGGGCAGCTGCTCATACTCAGAGAAATTCTTGGCGTCTCTGAGAGCCCAGGGTGCTCAGCAGATGTGTTTTGGGTGGCTTTTGTAAGGGGCAGCTCAAACCCTGGTGATTGAATGGGAGGGCTCCTGAGAGCTGGGGACCACGGGGACAGGCAGGCTCCCTTCACGGGGATGGCTGACTCTGTTCCAGGGATGAAAAGTGATTCCTGGTGCTTGCAGTGAAAGCTTCCCCCCACGGGATCCTCGGCAGGCCCCGATCTGATTCAGGCACCACAAACTGGAAATGCAGGTTCCTGGCACAGCACCCAGAGCCTGCCCTGAATCAGCTGGAGCTTTTCTGGGCTGGCCACACCCCAGCAGGCACCGGGAACAATCTTCCCAACCATCTCTGCAGGCTGGCAGCGTGCTGGGGATGCTTTCCGCCTCATGACGTGGGGATGGGTGGTTTTGGAGAGATGCTGAGCATTAGCAGCTGCCACAGAAGGTTTTGGTGAGGAACAGGCTTGCCCAGTTTGAAATGACACGTCCACGATTTCTGCTCCTTTATGGAGTGCAGGCTGTGTCCTCCAGCTTTGCAGGGCTCTGTTCTGACTGCCAGTCCCTCTGCACTCCTCCAACAGGTGATGCAGGGCTCAGACATTTCTGTTTCCCTGCAAAGGAGCGGCTCTGCAAACCTGCAGCAATGCATGTCCATTGCAAATGGGGACTGCTGGTTTGTTCTTTGTGATGTTGGTGTCTCATTGCTCTGGACAGTTTAACTCTCAGCTGCTGAAGTGCCTCTCTTGGCCTTTGTCTTCCCTCTGGCTCCCAGATGAAGTTCAGGGTCTGCCCTCGTGCCTTTGCAGCCCTTGGCTTCTCCATCAGCTCGGAGCTGTCTGGTCCTTTGTGCAATCCCAGGGTAGGAATTCCCTCACTCCTGGCTCACCTGTGGCTGCTCAGTCCCTTGTGCTTATCGGGGATCTTTGGTCACTGCAGGGTGATGGATGCAGCAAGTGAAATATGTGCATTTCCCATTATTTTGGCCAGATCTGGGGCGTTGCAGGGCTCTTCCACAGGAGCCCAGGTGCTGCTGTTGAATGAGCTCCCCGGGCAGGGCAATGTGGCTGTGATGAGCCTGGATGGGGCTGGATGGACAAATCCAAGTGACCTTTGATCCAGGAGACTTTGGAATCCCACGGCAACCTCCTGTAAAAACGGTGATAACGGCAGAGAAAGGCAAAGGGCAGGGGCTCAATCATTATCCAGGCTTTTGTGTGCCGGAAATGGCTGGGGAGAGGCGCAGGCTGATGGCAGGATAACAATCCCTTTGTCAAGGGCTGTTAGCAGCACAAACAGCTGCCTGGGGGGAGCAGGGATGGATGTGGGGCCTGCCAATGGGACGGTGTGTCCCTCTTGGGATGCTCCATCGAGCTTTGTGTCTCTGACATTGCTGTGCCCAGCTGCCCCCAGGCCCGCTGTGAGACCCCCTGGCCATGCTGCTCACCCTGGCCATGCTGCTTATCCCAGGTGTGCCCAGCTCACCCCATCTGTGCCCTGCACACGGGTGCCCAGGTGTGTCCTGGAGCCACCCCAGCCCCTCGGAGCCACCCCAGCAGTGAGTCAGGGACAGGAGAGGCTTTTGCTGCTGGCTCCAGGTGAGTCACCTGCCCCGATGGCTCACCTGGGTGGCTGCAATTACCAATTACAGCAGTGCCCTGGCTGCAGGCGCCCTCCCGGGTGTGTAGGCTGCCAAATTGCCGGTCCTGTACCAGCTACAGGCACTGCCGAGCTCTCAGCATGAAGGGAGTAACTGAGCAAAACACAAACCACACAAGGAGCAGCTTTCCCCACAGTGCTCAGGTATGCTGTGCCAGTTTCACAAAAGCTGGAGGTCTGTCTGTGTGTGGGTGACTGTGGCAGTGCTTGCTGCAGAGAAATGCCCACCAAAGTGCCCCCCAAAGTGCCCAGTGCACTGGTACATCAATGGTGAGGGCTGGTGCTGCTGCTGGCAGCTGGGCAGCCCCGAGGGGGATGTGAAATAGCTGAATTCCTCCAGGGGGATGTGAAATAGCTGAATTCCTCCAGGGGGATGGGAAATAGCAGAATTCCTTGGGGGAGATGGGAAATAGCAGAATTCCTCTCCAGCCTTGGTGCCTGACCACAGGGGAATCCTGGCCATGGCCCCTGCAGCCTTGATGATTTCACTCATCCCCTCAAAGCCTGTCAACAGCAGCCTCCACAGGGACCTCCATATCGCAGACACTGCCCCGATCCCATCAGGGCTTGTGTGGACAAATTACCGGCTGCTTGTCAGCCCTTAGGCTGATCCCTGGCTGTAAGACTGACAGCTCTGTTTTCTCAACTCCTGCAGAACGCCCAGGAATCCCACGGGGTGGCTGTGCCAACGCCGTCGGTGCCAGAAGACTTTGTGGAGAAGGCAGCCCTTGGTAAGGGATGTTCTCTGTGCAGCCCTGGCCAGCGCAGAGCGCTCACAGAGCCCTCGGGGCAGGAAATGTGTGTGTGTACCCAGCTCAGGAGCGGACAGTCTGCTCATATATTTTCATGCTAAAGTAGAGTCTGCTATTAATTATTTTTTGAAGTCATTGAGAATTAATTAATTCCTCAGGGGTGAAGCAGAGTGGCTGTTAAGTTCAGGATGTTTTAGACAAGCCTGGCAAGGGGCAGGCTGGCTGGGCAGGCCACTGGCACAGGCCAGGCTGGCTCAGCAGTGATGGAGAAGTGCTCACAGCTCTCTCTCCTGCAGGCTCTGGCTCCCAGCTCAATGGCAATATTCGCATGTACAGCTCGGTGGGGGACCTGCGCCCGCAGGCCCTCGATGGGCACGACCTGGATGAAGACATCCCCCCGCCGCCATCGGTGCCCCCGCCGCCCCCTCCGGCGCCCGTGTCACCGCCCGTGGCCTCGCCGGTGCCTCCACCCCCCGAGATGCTGCCGCCACCGCCGCCAGTGCCACCCGAGATGGTGCCGGTGCCACCCGAGGCGGTGCCGCCGCCCCCCGCCATGGCAGCGCCGCCGCCGCCCGCCTCGGCTCTGTCCTCGCCCAGCACTCCTGCTCCTCCAGACTTCATCCCTCCTGCCCCGCCGGGCGCCCGCGACCCCTTTGGCTCCGGCATGTCCAAGTGGAAATCGGAGACCGTGCTGAACTCGAGGCAGGGGGACGCCGAGGGGCCGCTCTGCGCCGCCGAGCCCGGGGTGCCCGCGGCCCCCAGCCCCAAGGAGAGCCTGCAGCCCAAGGCCGAGCCCCACCTGACCTTCCCCAGGTCGTTCAAGGTGCCGCCGCCGGCCCCGGCGCGCTCCTCGTCCATCCCGGTGCAGGAGGGCCGGCAGGAGCCCCCCGTGCCCAGGCAGCCCCACGCGCGGCCGCCCCTGCCGCCCTGCTTCACCATCAGAGCCGCCAGCAAGGCGTGGCCGGGAGAGGCCGAGCAGAGGAGCTCCGGGCTCAGACAGGGCCTGGGGAAGGCGGCTGTGCCCCCTCCACTGAGCCCCAAGCCGGGCACTGGGCTCGGCCAAGGCGTGAATCCCACCGGCCGCCGGTCCCCTCTGCCAGGCTCCGAGGAGGAGAGGATTCCCCAGCTGAAAACAGCCGGGAGAGACTCCCCTCCAAAATCTGAGCCTCTCACTGCCAACGACCTGGACCTGCCTCCTCCGGACTACCCGAGCTGCGAGGATGACTGGAAGGATGCCAGCAACCTGAACAAGCTGCGGGACGAGCTCTCGGCGCTGCTGCGCTCCCCACGCCGTGAGGAGAGGCCGCTGGAGAGGCCGCTGGAGAGGCCGGGGGCTCCCCAGCCCATGGACAGCGGTCCCAGCCGTGCTGGCAGCCGTGAGCCGGGGCCCAGCGAGCCCCAGATCACCAGGAAGGACACGGGGTTACCCAAGGGAGGGGACAGTGAGAAGAAAGAGGTGCCCAGCAGCCCCCCCAGCACCAGTGGGGGCTCTCCCAGCACTGCAGTCACTGCCCCAGACAGGAACCCTGACACACAGCCCCGCAGTGTGATGACGATCAGGAACGAGCTGGAGGCTGTGCTGTCCCTGAAGAAAGAGGGGAAACCTGCCCCAGGGCCCAGCAGCCAGAAGCAGGCCGTGGAGAATGGCATCAGCACCCCACAAGTGAGGAAGAGCCCCCCTGACACAAGAGACTCAGTGGTGCCAAAGCCGGTCCCCAGCCCGCTCCCAGCCCCGGTGGCGGCTGTGGAGAAGGATGAGACAGACCACGAGGACCATCCTGCTCCTGCTGCTGGCAAGGTCACAGAGGATGTGAGCCCTGCTCCTGGGTCCCTCAGCAGCAGCGTGAGTCCCCCAGAGCCACCCCAGGGACCGGCAGAGGAGCCCCCAGCTCCCAGCCCGCCCTCGGCCCCTGTGTCCCCTGCTCAGAGCCCGGCACCACAGCCCAGCTCGGCCGTCTTCCAGTACAAAGTGCACCGGGCTGGGGCCAGCTCGGCCGAGCCGCCCCGCGCCCCGGGCTCAGCTGAGCCACCCCATGCCCTGAGCTCAGCCAAGCCACCCTGTGCATCGGGCTCTGCTGAGCCGCCCAGCCCCGGGAGCTCGGGCAGGAGCCCCCCGGGCCCCTCGGGAGCGGGGCAGGAGGAGGTGCTGACCCCCCCGGGCCCCTCGGGAGCGGGGCAGGAGGAGGTCCTGATCCACCCGGTGACGGGGGAGCGCGTGGAGCGGGGCTCGCCCATGGCCCTGCTGCTGGCAGCCCGGCAGCGCGCCCAGCGGGGCCGCCAGCCCGGGGACGGAGCAGCTGCGCTCAGGGTGAGGCCGGCCCTGAGACTCGGCAGTGCCTCCTCGGACACCACCTCCTCCACCAGCTTCTTCCGCAACGAGTCCAAGCCCTTCTCCTTCACCGTGGTGCCTCGGCCGACTGCGGCCAGCCCGGCGGGGTCCGGCTGGAGCAAGCCCCCCTCGTTCTCCAGCTCCTCGGAGCAGGGCCGGGCCGTGCGGGCGGTGGGTGAGGCGCAGCCCCCCAGGCCCCAGCGAGCCGCCGCCTCCAGCCTGCTCCGGGGCCTGCTGGACTCAGGGCAGCCCGGCCCGGCCCGGCTCGGAGCTCCCAGCGAGGAGGAGAACGCGGACACGGCGCTGGACTTTGGCATTATCCCCCCGCCCCCCGAATTCAGCAATGAGGCGGACCAGGCTTCCCTCCAGAGCCGGGAGGAGAGCCGCAAGTGCCCCAGCGTCCCTGACAGCGGCCGGGGCTCGGGAGAGCCGCGCTATTTCAGGTGGGCTGGCTACAGCCGCATCTATGGGGCCAACAACCCAGAGCCAGCAGCTCCGCCACCCTTGGAGAAGAGCTGGAGGAACGGAGACCTCGCACCGCAGTATCCGGATCACAGCAGCTCCTCGAGCTTCCCCAGCCACGGCCCCAACCCACGGCCGCTGATCAAGAAGCGCCTGTACATGTCAGAGCCCGACAGCTCCTACCCCCGGGCCGCCGCAGCCCCCCGGGCCTCGGGCACCCTGTCCTCCACCCTCTCCTCCTACGGCCCCGGGGGATTCAGCTCCACGCCTGGGGAGGGGGCTCGGCGCCCGGGCCCCGGCCTCAGGAACGGCCCCTCGAGCGCCCAGGGCAGGCGGGCGTCCATGGATGCTGCGGGGAAAGCCGCGGCCTACGGCGGCACCGGGGCTGAGGCCAAGTACAAGGGGCAGAACGGGGACTTCTCGCCCGCCAGCGTGCTGACAGCCAGCAGGTACGTGTCCCCTGAGCCCATGTGCCACCCTGAGCCCACCCTCCCTGCCCTCGGTGTCCCTTGGAATGGCCCCAGAGCAGCACTGGGGCTCCAGGAGCTCTTTGGCTCCTGCTCTGAGGGTAGTGACCGTTCCTGGCTCCTCCCTGGTGCCAGCTGTGACCCTGTGCCCATGTCCCTCCCATCCCACCTCTCTGAGGGGAGACACGAAGCACTGAAATGCATCCCCACGGTGCTGACCCAACACCGAGGTTTGCCTGGGCTCACTTTGGGTGACTGTCCCTCTGTTCTCCCTGCAGGCCTGCCCACGGCACCCCACACTACGGGGCACCCTCCAACACTTTCACGGTGCGGCCTGGCACCCGCCAGCCCATCTCCTACGCCTACCCGAGCCACCGGTAGGCCGAGCTCGGGGCCGCCCCACTGGCAGCCGCTGGAAAGGGATGAGAAGGTGCCTGGGTTGGACATTTCCTTCTCTACGGGCACCAGGGACGGTCCCAACCCAGCCTGGAAATGCACTTGCTTGGAACTGCTGGTGGGGAATGAGCCCGAGACCGGACTTTTCTCAAAGACTGCCATGGAGAGTTGTTACTGCGGAGGGCAGGCCGCTGCCCTGTTACGTGAGCAATCGTGGTTTCCCTCTTTCCCGTTCTCCCTCCTGGATTATTTTCAGAATTGCAGCCTGATTGGCTGTCTAGGAAAGCCAAAGAGCATCCTCAGCTCTCTTCAGAGAGCATCACCACTGGAAAGGTTGGTTTTGGTTTGGTTTTTAATTGGTTTGACTCCAGCATGTTTGGGAGCAGGGAGAAACCAACTGAGAGATGAGCACAATGGAAATAAAGCAGTGTATAGCCAAATGTCGGGGATTGAAATAAGAATGTGAGGCCAGTGGGGTAGGAGGAGAGTTTAGGATGCCTTGATCCTGACCCTTGGTGTCCGTAAGAGCTTGGAGCAGATCAGTTCTGCCTTAAGCCCAGCTCTGAGCAGTCAGTGCCTGTCCTGCCATGCCAGGCTCTGACCCTTCTCCAGGAGCAGCTTTGGGAGCAGGGGCCCTGCTTTGCTGTGCCTTTTGGTCACTGTAAATGTTTCTGTTGGCAATTATTCCTCGTGGAAGGAGGCTGTGAGGCCTGGCTGGAAGGCTGTGAAGCACTTTGGAGGTGTAGGACACGGAGCAATCCTTTTCCTTGGGCTGGTGGGTGCCAGTGACTCACCCAGTGCTGTGCTGCTCTCCCTGAGGGCTCCCTTGCCACTCACAGCCCTGTGCCCCCCAAAGTGTCCTTATTTCCTCAGTTATTAATAGGTGTCCTTATGAACTGTTCCCCTGATCTGGGGCTGAGGAGCTCCGTTTCAGTGTGGCTGTTTGTGCAGGGACACCCAAAGGGAGCTGGCTCCCTCCGTTTCCCTCAGCGCTGGTCCAGGTGCTGCAGGTGCAGCCCTGCTCCCCTCTGCTGCCTGGGCAGGGTGGGAGCTCTGAGAAGCCCTAAAGAGGGTTCCAGCTCCCAGAGTCATGGGGTCTCACAGCTGACCTGAGTTGTGAATAGCCAACGTCCTGAAACTAGAAACAGAGACGCTTCCTCCAAGGCAAACCTGCTGAAAATCACTGTAAGATAACTGTAAAAACTTGTCGAGAATTTTTTCTTGTCACTGATAAACTGAAAGCACTTTGAGACATGAGTCTGTTTTTATGGAAAGCACTTTCTATTTTCAATGCTATAAATGCCACTGGTTCCGCTCCAGCTGACCTGCCTGGCACACACCTGGATGTGGCCTGCAAGCAGATCTTGCTTTACAATGCAGCTCAAAATCAGGGATAAATTTTCCTTCACTGTGGAGTTCTCAAAAGTTATCTTGATATTTGAGTCATGTCATTGACATTCTGTGTTTTGTGTTATTTCCAGCTTTGCCTAATAATTTAACAGCCCTTTGAGATATTGCAGCAGCTTTAAAGTATTCTGAACTTCACTTTGCTGTGAATAAAATGAAAATGCAAATACAATAATCAGTCTAATAGCTAATTCAAAGGGCATTTTTATGCCAGCAAGTCACAGTGGCTTAGAGGATTTCCATTGCTCACCCCAGCCAATATTGAAATAATAGGCCTTTAATATATGGGTGTTGGTTTTAAAAAAATATTTATGGAGAAAAGTGACTATGGAGTAATTATAAGGACATTTAAGTGTGCCAAGTGTCATGTGGAATAGCACCTGCCCCAAAACATGGAATTTTCTCCATGCAAGGAGCATCTTGAGCGTTCTTATTCATCTGTAGAAGTAAATCCATGCTCCTCCTTGAGGGGCTTCAGGGTCATGTTTTGATTCTGGATGAAGTTTCACAGTTTAGCCTGAAAGCAAACAAAGAAGTCTCTTTGATAATGTTGCAACTTAATGTTTTTTTCTTCCTGATACTTCTTTTTTCAAAATAATAAGCTATATTTGCAAACAAGCTCTCAGAAACAATTTTAAGGCTGGGCGGGCAATTTCAGCTTTTGATACTGACTTTGCCCAGAAGGGGAGGGCAGGGGGGTATGTGTGCAGTGTTCCACCTCAAGAATTCTTCCAAATTGCAATCTCCCGAAGTTGTTTCTTCTTTTAAGAGAAAAATGTGACACTCCAATGTTGGTACCTGCTTTAAATGTCACATTTACCACTTCACCCAGACACACAATTCACATGTAGGTGAAATAGGGTCCTAGACACCATGGAGTGTCTCATTTCTAGCAGACATAATTGCTTTAATTTAGCATTAGAAGTGTGATAATACAATCAGCTTTATAAAACAGCCACTCTTCATTCAAGAACAGCACTCAGGGGCTGCCCAGGGGCCTGAGCTGTCCCTGGATCCGGTTGGACCCTGCTCCCAGTTGTAGGACTGGTTAGCAGGCAGGTTCTCAGCAGTGGGACTCTTCTATTCTTCACTTTGCACTTTCCCTGCTTCTTCTGAATGCATTCAGCAGATTGTGGTATTTCAGGAACAGGTCAGCATTGATTCTGGGGCCGCTGTGACAAAGGGAGCACTGTCAGAGCTGTTGGCAGCCAAAGGGGACGGAGTCGGGTCTCTCAGGAGTGAGGAGTGCAGGGTGGGGACGAGCCCCCCTCCCTGGGGCAGGTAACTGGATAAACAAACTGTCCTTGCATTCCTGCTCCTCCCAGCTCTTTCACTGCAGACATTTAGCAATAGACAAAGAGGAAACAAAACCAAGGGGTATTAATGGAGCAAAGCACCCTGCCTCAGCCCAGTGCCGAGAGCAATGCTGAAGCCTGAGTGTGGAATTGTTCTCACTTCACCCTCTCTGAGGCAGTGTGGTAATTCAAGTCGTGACACAACTGAAATTATCCCCTGCAGCTGCCTCTTCCTCACAGGCTCCTGCTAGGGGAGTGTAAGAGAGCTTTAGCTGTAAAGTATCGAACAAAGTCTCTTATTTATGAGTGCCATTGAACACCAACCAACCTTCTTGCATTAAACATTTCTGGATGTTTTATTACATGTGTGGCCTGACTTTTTTTGGTGTTGCTTCCACGGTGTGTCTGCTGGAGGATTGGGAAGTTTGCACATCCCTGAAAGGATGGGGAAAGGTTTGAATTTCAGCTCGCCCAGGGCTTGGTGCAGTGTCTCTGAGCCTGACCCAAAGCCCGTGGCCGTGTCAGTGTTTGCAGGAGCCCAGGCAGGGCAGGAAGGGGCAGCTGAGCCCCAGGAGCTCTGTCACTCACACCCAGCAGGTCGGGCAGGCTGGCAGAGCAGCAGCCTCTATAAATAGGGCTGGGCTGGAGCTGCTCAGCAGGGCTGAAACTCCCCTGCCTGCTGCAAGTCCCAACTGGAGCGCTGTGCCCACAACTGCGGGCACAGTGAGCAATGCACACGGCATCAAGGGCTTGTCTGCAGCGTGGCTGCTCCTCTGCACTCAGAACTGAGCTGATCTGCATTCCCACCTCCTTCAGCCAGCTCTGCCACAGAAGCAGGCTCTGTGAGGGAGGGAAGGGTGCAATGTGTGCCTTGAAGCTTTACTGGAGCCACAGCGGCTGTCCCCAAACCTGAACGGTGTGTGGTGGGGCAGGGACAGCTGAGCAAGGCACGAACCCCCCAGCACTGCCCCCATTCCTCAGGGAGCTGCAGAGGCAGCCAGCACTGATGTGGGACTGCTGCTGTCCCTGCGACTGCACTGCCAGCACTGGTACAGCAGCTCTGAGCCGAGCTGCACCCCAGCAGTGACTCCTGAACTGCTGCTCCTCTGTGCCTGTGAGTGAAACACCCTGGGTGCAAGTGCCAGACACCCCAAACACAGACACTCCTCTGTGCCTGTGAGTGAAACACCCCGGGTGCAAGTGCCCCAAAAGCAGACACTCCTCTGTGCCTGTGAGTGAAACACCCTGGGTGCAAGTGCCAGCCACCCCAAACACAGACACTCCTCTGTATCTATGAGTGAAACACCCCGGGTGCAAGTGCCCCAAAAGCAGACACTCCTCTGTGCCTGTGAGTGAAACACCCCGGGTGCAAGTGCCAGCCACCCCAAACACAGACACTCCTCTGTATCTATGAGTGAAACACCCCGGGTGCAAGTGCCCCAAAAGCAGACACTCCTCTGTGCCTGTGAGTGAAACACCCCGGGTGCAAGTGCCAGACACCCCAAACACAGACACTCCTCTGTATCTATGAGTGAAACACCCCGGGTGCAAGTGCCCCAAAAGCAGACACTCCTCTGTGCCTGTGAGTGAAACACCCCGGGTGCAAGTGCCAGACACCCCAAACACAGACACTCCTCTGTATCTATGAGTGAAACACCCCGGGTGCAAGTGCCCCAAAAGCAGACACTCCTCTGTGCCTGTGAGTGAAACACCCCAGGTGCAAGTGCCAGCCACCCCAAACACAGACACTCCTCTGTATCTATGAGTGAAACACCCCGGGTGCAAGTGCCCCAAAAGCAGACACTCCTCTGTACCTATGAGTGAAACACCCCGGGTGCAAGTGCCAGACACCCCAAACACAGACACTCCACTCCTTCAGGCAATGGTGCCTTGCCCTTGTCAAGGGCAGCTGCTGCCATCCTGTGGCACCACAAACACCTGCCAGACACTGGAGCACTGAGGCTTGTTGGGTCTTTAATTGTAAAAATGAGTTAATGTATCACCAATGACCTGCTCTCCCTACAGGCTTCAGCACCCAGCAGAGTCTTTTGCCATGGACTGCTGTGTTTTGCTCAGGTGTGGCAATGTGAGCAACCTAATGTGGTTTAATGTCTGACATTTCAACTTTTATTTTTAGCTGCGCATGATGGAACCCCAAGTTCAGAGTTCTGGCAAGAAAAACTTCCTGAAAGCAGCAGGAGCCAGAGCCTGCCTTGCAGCAGTGCTGAAGAACTGCAGTACCCTGGCATTGAACAGGAATACGGTGAACATTTATTTAAGAAC